AGAGGCCCGCGTAACACAAAAAAAAAAAAAAAAAAAAAAGAAGTCAATGACAGGCGAGTCCAGGGAAAGCAGGTACCAAAGGTGTTGTAAGGATATTATTCTTCCATAAATTTGATTTTTTTTCAAAATAAAAAGTTAAAAGAAGGCAACAGAGTAGCCGTGCCTACAGCAGCATGAACAGGTCTACAAAACATTCTGAAGCAGAATGCAGCCTTTAGCACAGTATTATTTGTGTAAATTAAAAATACAAGGAAAACACTGGCAAAGCAAACAAAATAACAATATATGTACGACAGAACCGTAAAGAGCAAATCAGCTTCCAGGGTGAGAATTCTGTGCCCGAAAACAGAGCTCAGCCGCTGGCTCTGGGGCCCTTGGCATCTCCCAGCTGGGTCCTCACTCGGTCCAGACACACCGGCCTCCTGCCTGCTGCCCCTGTTCCCTCGGCCTCCTTGCCGCCACGCCCCATCTCACCCACAGCGGACCCCGGCCCTGTCCTGTCCCCCAGCAGCAGGCAGCCCTTCCTCATGCGCCCAGCCCTGGCACCTAGAGCTGGACCCTGGGCAGGCAGTTCCGGGTAGGCTTCCTCCACGCCCCAGATTCCGGTGGGGCAGGGGGTTGAGCCCAGCCCCGCTGCAGCCCCACCCCGGGTGCCTCGCGCTCCTACCTTCAAACTCATCGTCCTCAGGGTTGAAATTGATGGCAAAGTCATGGGACACCTGGGCAGGCACAGAAGGGACTGGTCAGTGGGTCCCCCTCCCAGGACCCCACACCCCCACCTACTGGGAGAGGTAGGTCTGGAGCCACCAGGGCCACCACGTCAAAGACGCTTCGGACAGACCAGTGCTGGGCATTGCTCCAGCCCTGGATCCAGGGGGACCTGAAGCTTCTGAGCTGCACTAGCCAATAAATCCACCGCCCACCCCCTGCCCAAGTTTTCTGCTTAAGCCAGTTGAATGTCCTTTCTAACTGGAAGGTTCCAGACTAATGGCCCCCTCTGCCTGACAGGGCTGCATTGCTGGGAGGTGAAAGGTCAGCCCTCTGGCCAGCAGGCGGTCCCTGCAACCTGCCCACCACCGGTCACATGGTAGCTGATTCCCAGTAGGAAAGGCAGCAGCCAGGGGTCCTGAGACCCGGGCTCTCCTACCTCATACTTGGGAGAGATCCGGGCTCCGAACCCCAAAGCAGAGAGCCTCTTGTCGCTGGAAGAGAGACGGCCCCATCACCCAGGGTCCCTGATCTCCCTGGGGGTGGGTGCGGGCACTTTGGAGAGATACCGACAGAGCCAGACCAGGAGGAAACTCTATGGGGGTCCAGGCCCCGCCCCGAGCCACATGGGGGAAACTGAGGCCCAGAGCCGTGAAGAAGCCGCCCAGAGTGCAGGCCCCCATCACCTCCCAGGCGAGGGGTCCGCCCCACCATGGCCTCAGTTTACGGTCTGTGAAGTGGGATTCGGACGCCATGTCTGTGTGAAGGACCAAGGGGACCACGGTTGGGGGGCGGCCCCACCTCCCATCTCGGGCCCTGCAGGTGCCGACCCACACTCCACGCAGAGCCTGGGAGGCAGTGGGCTGGGGGCGCTGGGCCAGCGCAGCTGTCGTAGTCCTGGCAGGTCTCGCCCACAGCCGCCAGGGCCTGCAGTACTCGCGGGGATAGAAGGGGCTGATATAGTAAGGAGCAGCTGGTCCTGGGGTCCCCAGTGGAGGCCGTGAAGTCAACGGCCACCTGCAGGGGCCACAGTGCGAAGACCCAGGAACCCCTCCCTCCTGGGCTGGGGTGGGCACCTGCACCCCCATCTGACAGGTAAGGGAAACTGAGGCCTGGGGAGCCACTCGCCCAGGGCTGCAGGGAAACCTGGAGGTGTGAGCTCGAGGGCCCAGCGCTGTGTTGGCGGGATCACAGAAGGGATGTGCCAACCCCAAAGCTCCTGGGTCCCCAGGGTTGGCCAGCGCCTCTGAGGGCAATACCAACCAGCAGCTGCAGGGAGCCAGCATGGTCACAGCGGACCCTCAGCACCTCCTTCTACAGCGGGGGGCTGTGGAGGCGGGGGTAAGGGAGGGGCTAGGCAGGGCCGGGGAGGAGCAAGCCCCGAGCTGGGGTCCCTGGGTGCCCCCGGCCCAGTCACTTTCCTCAGGGCATTCTGGCTGTCACGAGAAGGAGTGCAGAGGCCACACAGAAGGGACCTGCAGGCCCTGCCGAAGGGCCTTTTCTGCGCCCATCCACCCTGGGTGCCAGACGGGCTCTGAGTTACATCCAGGGTGGGGAGGGGCTGCTGGGAGCCCTGGGGTGGGGCCCGGCCGCTGACACCCATCCTGCTGGGATGCACCCAGCAGGCTGTGCGGACAGTCCATGGACTCACCGTGAAGTGGTCTGGCAGCCACCCATGATGCAGTCCCGGAACGAGTACGCCCTGTAGATCATCCGGGGTCCCCACCCTGGGAAGATTGAGGCCAGGGCTTCGGGGTCGGGACCTCTGGGGCTCCTGGGACATGCCCTCCCCCAGGAGCCCAGCAGCCTCAGTCCCCTCCTCTCAGGCCCTCAGGCCGCCTGAATGCCCGTCTTCCCCCCACCACATATTCTCTTCCGTCTCCCCCTCCCCTCCATCCCTCCCATCTCCACACACTGGGGGCACCAGACCTCTGGGATGGGGGCCCTTGAGGGTCCATCTGACTACAGGGGGCTCCAGGCAGTGGCCAGCCACCCCAGCCCGGCTCACTCTCTGCAGAGCTGAGGCAGGAGCACCACCTCCACCCACTGCGGGGGGGAGGGGCTGCAGGCTGGGCCAAGGCTCACCTTCAGGTCTGCCAGGGTGACCCCCGCAGAGCTCTTGGGACTGCGGTGCTTCTGCGTGTACTTGAGGCTCACACAGTCCCACTGGGCCAGGGGGACAGGGACAGGCAGGGAACCCCACCCAGAGTGCCAGCACCCAACACCCACCCCAAGGGGCAGGGGAGGCCTGAAAGCCCCGCCCCACTGGCATTTGTCACTTCAGCTTTACCACAGGCTTGTGGTCCCTACTCCAGCCACCTGGTGGGTGTGGGTGTCCCGCTCTGTCACCATCTTTAGCCCCTCTAAAGCCATCACAACAACTTCTGGGGCAACCCAGCGCAGGGCCAGCGCCCCAGCGCATTCTGGGGGACAGGCGGGCCCTTCCTGCTCTCACCTGGTCCTCCCGGAAAGCATTCTGCATCTCCACGAAGGTGGTAGAGAATTCTGCGATGAAGTCGTGCTTCCCGTGAGAGTCATAATCCCAGATGAGGCCCTGGGGACCCCGGGACCCCGCAGCCCGCCTGCCCCTCTGAGGCCCCCAGCCTGGGTGTCTCCATGCCCCTGCAGCAAGGCCGCCCCCTTCCCACCATCCTTCCCCAAGTACCTCAACTCCAGGAAGGTGTGGTCTGGGGGGACTCGCCCCGCCCCAGCCCCGCCCCAGCCGCCCCATCCCCTCCCCAGCACCCACCCTCCGCCAGCCGGCCCCGCCCCGCCCACCTTCAGAGGCCGAGGCTCCTCACAGCTGCACAGGCTGCTCAGAGACACCTTGAAAGGCTGCCAGATGGGGCTCAGATCATTCTTCACCACCTGTGGACTGGGGGCAGCTCAGGCGGCCCTGCCTCAGGCTCCCAGCAGGACCCTGCGAGCCCAGAGCTGCGTCTCCGAACCTCTTTCCTTCCAGAGCCACCTTCCTAACCCCCCACATTCCTGGACCACCTGAACTTCTTTTTCCTTAAATAGCCTTTTTTTACTCAAATTAATTTATCTCAAAAAGAAACGCCTTCCGGGGCTTCCCTGGTGGTGCAGTGGTTGAGAGTCTGCCTGCCGATGCAGGGGACACGGGTTCGTGCCCCGGTCTGGGATGATCCCACATGCCGCGGAGCGGCTGGGCCCGTGAGCCATGGCTGCTGAGCCTGCGCGTCCGGAGCCTGTGCTCCGCAATGGGAGAGGCCCCAACAGTGAGGCCTGCGTACCGCAAAAAAAAAAAAAAAAAGAAAAAAAGAAAGAAAGCCTTCCCACTGGTGTAACTGAAATATTGTTTTACGGGCAGGTAGTGGTAACAAATCCGGATTCTTGATTCTAGGACAGAAACTCCATGCCCACCTGGCCGCTCTCTGTTCAAAGGGGGATGGCGGTTTTGGAGGTCAAGACGCTACAGCCATGGGGGGGCCAGGGAGGTACAGGGAGGGCCGGGGTGACTCCTTCCCCTGTCCTTTCACGCTGTCCCTGGGTGCTGGCCAGGGACCCCTCACCTCCGTCCTGTACACCAGCTGCTTGCTCTGATCATCGTTGATCCGGTGCAGCTCCAGGAGGGGGTCCGGCTTGCTGAAGAGGCCCTGCAGGAGGAGCAGAGGGTGTGCCTGGCAAGCGGTGGGGTCCAGGCTCTGCCACCTCCTGGCTGTGAGGGCAACGTCCTCTGGAGCGTCCCTGGCTCCCCAGCGCCCAGCGCTCAGCTCCCACCCTGTCCCCCACCTGCCCCAGCCCCGCTTCAGTCTCCGTCCAGGGGAGGCAGCAGGCAACACCAGGTCAGACCCCTGCTCTGTGCCCCTACCCCATGTGAGGAGCCAGCGGGACCAGAACCGAGTTCAGATCCAATTCCTCCACTGTCTGGACGGGGACCTCCCTGAGTGCCCCTCATAGGGAGCTGAGGATGAGCTGACGGCAGCGACACATACAGGACCCTGACAGCAGCACAATCGCCTGGACAGGCAGCCCCACCCACGGCTCTGAGTGCGTCCCACTCCTCAGCCACCTGTCTCCCTGTGGACACAGTGTAGCTCTGTCTACACCTCCTGACAGGAGGGAAAGCTGGGCCCCAGGGGGGGGCCCCTCACCTTGTCATCCAGCTTCCTGGCACGGAGGGAGAGCTCCGCATGGCCGTTATTCCCAGAGATGCCCCTGGCTATCACCTGGGTGGAGGGAGAGCGCCAAGGCTCCCAGCTGGGCAGGAGGGGTCTGACACCACCCTTCCCTGCCCGGCTGCAGCCCAGCCTCGGGGAGGTGTCTGGACGCCACAGCCTCAGCGAGGAAGGGGCGGGGGTCTGCAGGGGGCGGGGCTGGTGGAAGGCGGGGCCTCACCGTGATGGGGGACTTGGCAG